AAAAACTCAAAAAACAAAACGAACACATATTTTGTAATTAGCTAAAAATATTCCTAAACGAACCAAATCTACTCGATACTCGAAAGGTGTAGTTTTTCTTAAAAAAAACACATCTTTTTCGAAATATACAAAATTTTCTACTTTGCTCTTTTTTTCCAGCTTCTCAAAATAATCGTGTCGGATTCAACATGAAAAACTGAATATAAGAATACTTGTTAAATTGATTCCAGACTCAAAATTCTATCGGTGATGGCTCTTCGAATCTACTTGAGTTCACTAGGTATAGTTCGATTTTGTAAATCTATCTGGCTTTTCTACGTAAGCGATCAAGTAAAATATTTTATCTCATTCGACTCATCACACTATTTTTATTGGTAAATCTATGTATCAATAATCGATACATCTTCAGCAGGGATGAAAAAAATTACCAAATATATTATCCTTTCAGTTCAGTTATGAAAAACGCTGTCATTTTTACTTCTTGAGTACAAATTCATCGGCAATAGCATCATCGACATCGTGATAATAGATAAATTTCAAATAGGTACGATTAGCCCACAATTGTGTGTAGCCATATTCTTCATCATGATAGATACTCCATTCAGCACCTGTATATGGATAAGAAACAGAATCTTGTCCAGCCATACCAATTAAAATTTGTATGATACCATCATTAACACATCTCTGTTGATACATTGGACAAGTTCGCTCATACGAATGTATATGAGCATAAAGATTAATATCAACATGATATTTGTAAAATAATGGTTCTAAATATAATTGTAACATTAATATAATAAAATAGGGTTTTGGAATTATTTGTGATGAATACATCGGACGATGTGAAGTAGTAATAAGCCACGGTGTGCGAGAACGATTTACTGATTGAAGATCTTGTTCTAGCCAAATATACTGTGGTGATCCACGATGAAAGTCATGTTCATTTGAATATACAACAAAATGAATGGAACCAACATCAAAACTGTACCAAAATAGACCGTTACCATTAGATGGAGAGTGAAAACGACGCACCATAGGAACGGCACATTCACCACCGGAATCATCACCATAATCTCCCCTACAAAAGAAGACGATGCAATAATAATAGTATCGATAATATGATTTATACAAGAGTTTATAGAAGAGAATAAACTATGACGACAACAATTCGCTTACCATTTAGGACGAAATCCTCCAGGACCTTGTGCTCCACTTGGATCCTTATCACCGCCAGTAACATGATCATACTCATGATTTCCAATGCTGACCATATATGGTACACGAGATGCGATTGGTTCTATTTGAGTCATGAATGAATCCCACAATACAGCGATACCCATAGCATAACTGATATCACCAATATGTAACAGACAAGTGATATTAGTCGACATCACTCGTGCTCGTACTCGATCAATCGTTGATTTAGCACCTGTAGCGAATGGTGCCAAGCCCATGTCACCATAAGCAATGAGGATCACTTCTGAATCTTCATTTGCAGGACGATTAGTAAATGAGTACACTGACGACCAGCCATCTTCATCAGTGCCTACTCGGTAAAAATACATAGTTGATGGATGGAGATCATTGAGTAAAATCGTATGCAGAAATCCAGGATCGATAAAATTTTGTGGGCCCCATGTAGTAGCTTTGCCTTCACACATGTCCGATGCTGTATAAGTGATTGTCGTACCATTAGCGTCCCATTCTAATGACGATGGATTCAATCCATATTGACATCGTGGTGTATGAGTATTTGAATTAGTGACAAAAGAAACAAATATTTGATCAATTCGATCACCATACGCTAAATGGATCTGTGTCGGTTCATTATAGTTAAGAGGTTGAACAACAGATGATTTGACGACAAATGAATAGTTGTTGGAGCAATCCTGATTGCGTGAATAATAACGAAATTCAAGTGGTCGACGTAAATTGATCATTTCCCATGATACACTAGTATGGTTTTGCACATACGCATAGCCAACATAATCACAAGCGCCTGATGAAAATAAAAAGGATGCATGTTTATACTATAATACAGAGAAGAATCTGACTTCTAGCTATTTTTTCGATCGAAATGAATTCATTTTGATGATAACTAGTGTAATCAGTTCATTTTTCTGGCTAATCATACATAAATAGTATACATACCTGTGAGAATTGGTATTTCTACAAAATAGATACCGATGAAATCATCTTTGCATGAGTTTATTATCGGCGTCCAAGTCACTTCAATTTGTTCCATGCTAACATACACCGTAGTTGAAACATTTAAATGAGTAATGTTTCCAGTTGAAATCCGATCTGAAGGCGTAGTGATGCCTATTTTTCGATCGCAAGGATATATTTCATTCCTTATAGAATCATGATTTATAAAAGCCCAATTAACATTCGAATGATGATCTGTAGCTCTAACAAAAACAAAAAAGATAAGAAGAAAGGCAACACACACCTGTCTATAGAACAACATTGTGATGTTTTATTGTGATATCTTACCTGCATTTATAAATGTGTGATATAAACATGCAAATAATAAGATGATAGTAAATCTTTCCAAGGGATATCAGATATCTGGAGGGCACACCCATTTTTCATCAGTTTGAAATAATATGTCATCTTTCATTAATTATGCAGAAATTTTTATAAATCGGCATAGTTTATCCTAACTGAATCAACAAATTTTCAAAAATTTCTACTGAAATTTTGATAGAATAGCTGAAAATGATGAAGTCAATCATGTATTGTGTGCGTTATTCAATAGTAGAATTCTTAAAGCAGATTGTTTCGAGTATCAAAAGATTCTTTTTACATCTTCCTTATCAACACTGTTTCCTTAGAAGTGAAGTCACTTTCAGGAAAGACTCTCTCTCTCTCTCTCGATCCTTGCTCGTATGGATTTAAATTGTGAGCATACCTCTATTATTGATTAAAAATCAGCCTGTTTGCTCGAGCTGTAACCAAAATATTCAATTTTTTCCTCAGTAAAGTGACTTCTGCGTCACCCTGTATGATGTAATGCTACCAGCCAACTTCCCACAAAAAGAGTTCTTATCGAAATTTTTTTATTTTGATACTAAGTGAAGGTCGATCAAATATCATAGAAAAATAGAGCATCATTTTCTCTATCACTACAAAAAAAAAGAAAATTTCTTTTAGCTTACTATAAGGAAATAAGACCTTGA